CTAGCTACTTCCTATTTTACATTCGCGTGCTCAACTTTCTCGCGTTATTAAACGGGAAGAATATTATGTTGCGAAACATAATATATGTAGCTAAAAGAATATTATGTTGCTAACACATACGTCGCCAACGCATCGCTCGCGAGTGACCGGTCGCTCGATTTGTCATTCAGGTAGCTCGCAGAGTGCTTTCAGAGAGATAACGGATTGACGAGCGTTCAGTATTGACAACATGCGAAGATATCTTGCTCTTCTCTTCAAGAGCTTTGCAAATGAATGGCGTATTTTAAAAGTGACCTATTGATGTGTCTTAATGGTGAAAATCGTGGTCAAACACAAGCACATTAATTATTTCCATTTCAACAAAGTTATGTTTGTGCTCGTAAAGGTAAATATATAAATGGCTAATTTACCCGTATTTTTTGTGCCATAGATATTATTAAGGCAGCTCTCAAAACATCGATAGGTTGCATCTACTTTCATCGGTATCCCTAACGTACAGCTGTAAATTCCAGGATTCTGTGTGCACAGCCGCGCAGATTCGGGTAGTCGCGCGAGTCGGCGAAAGCGACGTAATACATTTGGGGCGAAAGCGCGTGGGCGAGCGGGGGCGGCGCGGGGCGGGGCGGGGCGGGGGCCAGATTCCCGGAGGCGTCGCGTGCCGCGGCCCCCCTCTGCCCCCCCCGGCCGCCCGCGCGCCAGGACGGGGGCGGGGCAGCGAAGGGGCGCGGGCGCGGGCGCGCACGCGGCGGCAGCGCGGCGCCCCGGCGCCCCGGCGCCTCACGCAGCGCCCGAGCGGCGTCGCGACGCCGAGCGGCCGCGTGACAACCCGACGGCGGCGGCCCGCGGCGACCTGACGCCTGCGCTGCGCTGAGAGCGGGCGCGCGGCCGAGCGCCAAATGTTCCTATCTGGATTCATCACCGATCGTTGTAGACCAGGGATTCTCAACGTTTTTTTAATTTTTTTTTCTGTTATTTATAAACTCTCTTTTAATTGTTGGATCCATCGCCCACCTTACGTTATTCTCTTTAATATACAGCAGAGATTCCCAACGGGAGGTATCGACCCCCGGGGGGTCGATTAAATTTTGAAGGGGGTCGTTGTTGATCAAGGGATCTATTGGTGGTCAACAGCCGAATACGAACTGGTGGCAGACGAGTATAATCAAGATTCTAGTGATTACAAATAAAATATTATTACATGTGATAATATGAATATGAAATAATGCAAAAAAATTACAGTTGTTAATATGAACATATATATTATGAAATAAAGCAACAAAACATAATAATCAATCAAAAATTCGCTCTTCTTTCGTATCCGTTGTTCATCCCTAAAAGTTAGGATGTTTAGAAAACTCAGGAATTATAACTATGCATTCTCAACGATACTCAGTCGCGCAAGAAAATATTCTTTGCCATACAAACTGGAGAAATGTAATTGCCACTTCTTCAAATAACACTCAACATTTTGTAACCATTGCATTTCGGTAACAATTAGAAGAAACTCTGCTACTTAAATGTGGCAGCGTCTTCGATTGTTAAAAATCGAGACTTTTACGAGAATATTGGCATACGAAATTATTTTATGGCATCCAAATGCAATTCTTTGTGTTATTATTACGGGTGCTATATACAAGTACTTGTAGAAAAAACGTAAAGGATCGATGAAGCAAGTTCTCTCTGGAAAGGGATCTAAGACAGAAAAAATGTGGGAATCCCCAATATACAACATACATTGTCATAAGCCATGACAAACATAGTACATAAATGTTTCAAAAACAATTTCGTAGGTTCGTATTTGAGTAAATATGTAGGTTTTCAGTAAACGAACTGTAACTTCTGCTTGTAACTGCGTTGCTGATTTTCGTTATTGAGTTATTGTTCCAAAATGTTGACCGTTTTTAATTGACCATAACATTTCCTCAGTGCGTATTACAAGAAGTGTTTTCTTCCTCGATAGAGTATCGTTCTCCATACATGGTTTTAATTTCTAAAATTTTCTAATCCCAATCAGTTGCCTAGCTAGGTTGCACCGAATGCTTCGGTGCTAGAAGTCGAAATACAACTCGAATTAGCAATAAACGTGAAAATGAGTTTTCAATTTAATTGGTTTAGAAATATTGCCGATGTGAAGGAGAAAATAAACATCCAGTGTGAATTGTCTTATTCTTCGTCTATATCCGTCCGCGGTGACACTTAAGGACTCAAAAGAATTGTTTGTAAAGCATAATTATATATTTATTTCCATTACACTAGACAACAATTATTTGTCAAGATCAATAAATATTTTTGTAATCAATGGAATTCAATTATACCTATCAATTGCTTACATATCACAGCTGAGGTCTTTTATACAGCTGGAGACTTACATCTCTTGTGGAATAATTTCCATTTTCCTAATACATTCATCACTCCTATCTGCACTTTATTTGGTAGGCCTCGTGTTTGCTTAAGTAATCTGGACACCATTCACACATTTATAGATAGTTTGTAAGAAATGAACGATTCATAAAATAAAAGCGTATGCTGTATACAAAATCTACGCAATTGAAATATGAATGTAAGTGACGGAATATTTGTATGTGCTTCGAATAAATGTTTACATAGCCCTGGAAAATGGAATTTCATGTTAGGACACTTATTCAAATTAATAACAAACGTAATAATTAATAATATTTTTGTAGCTTATTAGGAAATAACAAGGTCCATTGCAATCAATAGGTTTTCTAATACATCCACTTGTATATTGTGTTAAGAGAATACGAAGACAAATTGCTCTGAAGGTAATGTGATTCTAACACATTTACGTGTTTCACAAATTGACTTGCTATTCCTTCGATGATTCTCTGACAGCTTTTCGAAATAAGTTATCAGTAGCGTTTGTTACACATTATTATAGGCACTAGCCACAAATACACTTACTGCAACGTCTACTAGGAATTTTCTATTTAAAACCAAACTGAAAATCTTAGAAACTGTGGACGAGGACGACAAAACCTGATTCAATGATTTGTACTATTGTAATTTGCATGTTTTAAATCGTTCCTAAATCTTGCGTGAGTAGGAGAAAGGTGAAAGTGGCTAATAATAAAATATTGCGGCGGCTGGTGTCCGATCGATCGCGGGTGGCCTTTGCGCCCACCTGACTTCACCTGCTCAACGTGCGCTGTGGGACCTCTGCACACCTCCCCTGGAGCACCTGCTCAGGCACACCACTTCCTCTTGG